GGACCAATTCCGGATAGGTCGCGCACTATACGGAATAATTCCGCCTGCTGGTTGGACGCTTTGCTTATCCGGTTAGCGAAGTATGCTCGACTGGCAGCCTTTACCTTAGCCAGGTAAAGGTTAGTGCCGACCTTAACAGCTATCCAGTTGTAATCCGTCGGGTCCTTTCTCCATTTGCGCTCTAGCCGTCTCCTAATCCGCTTCAGCGCCCGAAGGTCCTGGTTAAACCAAGGCGCCGGGCGGGCTCTGCGTTGGAGAGGGCGCTTAGGTGCGATCGTGTCTACAGCCCTAGCCGCAGCGGCGAACCAGCTGACGGTCAGAGCCTTGACAGGAGCGCCAGCCAGCTCAGTCGGAACTCCTCTCGTGACATCCTGGAATCCATTCGGATCCAGTAGTCTTCGAGGGCAGACCATAACAATAGGTCCTTACTCCCTGCGAGGGGGGAGGGCCATGTTGAGGTTACATTTTATTAGGTGGTGATCCGACCGTGACAGAGGGACCGACACGAGGTCAGTCACCATCAGGCCACTCTCGCTCCAACTGGAGGAAAAAACCAGGTCAAGTGTGTGGCCTCCCACGTGGGTGGGGCCAATAACATGTTGGGACATGTTCAAGAAGGCCATGGTCTCCAAGAACTCAAGAGCTGGACCGGAAATCTCTGCCTCCGCAAGACTAGATATACTCAGAGAGAAACTTATGGAGAAAATTGCTTTAACTACCTAATGCATCTTTTCCCAAAATGGTACCCTTCAGATATGCTGCATCACTTTACCCATCATCATCTATCAACATAGGAATACTGGCAGGGGATCATGGGAATTGGCAGCCCAGCATACCTAAAGGTTCTAGGGTAGACAAACTAAATTACTGCAAGTTCAGAAGCCTGGTACTGTATTTATTCCTCAGCTGAGGACTACGGCTCTTCATAAAAGTAACATATATTCAAATGCAAGTAGAATGTGACTAGCAGTTTTAGCCCAATTCCAGAAAGCAGGAGACAGACAATAAGGAAACATGGTGACCAGAATTCCTGGTCAGATCTGAAATAGTAGTGGTAACCATTTTGGCTGCACTGACTAGACAGCATTTAAAATTGTGTTTGCCTTAACAAAGAAGAACAATCAAGTCATTAATTACTACCAAGAGCAACACAGAAAAGCCAAAGGCACAAGCTGACTATAGGAAAAAGCCCAGCCCTTCAAATCATCCTCTTGTCTATAGAATCTCCATGTTGACATTTGCCAAAGCTTCCCAAGATGTAAAATGCACTTCCCTTTTATTAGAATTTATACTCCATCTTGCTTCTTTATCCAAATAAAACAATTCTATGTTGGGGTCTACCAACTAGGGCTAAACAATTAGTTATTTAAATGCTCATATTTAAACACTGGTTTTTCAACCCCTTGACTACCTATCCCAGATTCCAGGTCGGCTAAAATCTAAAGTTTGCATTCAGACACACTATCCACTTGAAATGCACAACACAGTTTTTCAACATCATTTTAAAAATCTGATGACATTCAAGAGCAAATATCAGTACTTTGGCATGGTAAGTTTCTTCAAGCTCCTCCTTGTACAGCTTCACTTGTACATCATGCAGCTCTCTCATTTCGTGAAGTGCTTGGGCAAGTTTATGTTCATACTCTATTTGCCTCCCAGAGTCCACTTCAACAAGTCGCGTCTCATGTTTCCTCCTTGTCTCATTGATTTCCTAAGAATAAATGAATAAAGTTGCACTTTGGTTAGAAATATCACAAAGCAATGTGTTTTTAAAAAGACATCTTGCCAAACTGCTGCATTAATCAAAGACCACAAGATTACTTTTTGCACTGCAAGACATACAGGAATCAACTAAATGAGCTTTGTAATGTACAGCTCACGTTTCTGCCGAACATGCTCCAGAAAAATATTTTATACCTCTAATTACATTACCTCTTCATATATATTTTTTCGGAACTCCAAGTCTTCAATCAAACTTTGACAGCGGTTTTCAAGATCCACCTTTAGTAAAGTTTCGTCCACCAGTTGCTTCTTGGCAGCTGCTAAAGCAGCTTCAAGCTGAAATGAAGTATCAGAAGCAAATTAGAAAACAACACCTACAATAAAGGACCATCTGACAAAGTATTCATACAGCCCACAAATCCTGGAAGTTATGAATTAAAGTAATTGATGCTCTTAGAGATATTAATCTTTCTTTAATTAGTGTGTGTGTCTTTAAATAGCCAATGTCACCTTGAATGGCAAATCTCGTCAAGGTGGCTTGTGAGTGACCACCATGAAAGAGATTTTGCTTAATATGTGTACCAGCAACACTATGCTTCAAAATGATTTACAATGCAATCTACCTACAATGTTCTAGTTCTGCCCCGAGATCATTTTCTTGTCTATCCTGAAGCTGTTTCCTACCATTATGATCCGATCCCAACTTTGGACAGTTCAGCATCTTAGTATGTAAAAACTTTCCTTCAATAGTGGAAATACTGAGAGTAGAATTTGCAGATAAGGTTTAAACTGTACTGACTTCCTAATCATTGAAGCCTATTATTTCTACTTCCTATTCAATTTCTGCCCAACAGAAAACAATACACCAGTCATGAAACCAAATCAAAAGATAATGGATGACTGCTGCTTCCTCTTTCCCTGGTGTTTCCCCCCTCAGCAATAGAAATTTGTAGCGGAAGGCTGAGAAGGCTGCCAAGATTTATCTCTATCAGAATGAGCCACAGTTAGCCTTGTGCTCTACCACTCCCTTCACCCCGCCCCTTGGTGAAACTGGTAAAGCAGAAGAAGTTCATAAGCATTTACGTCTGTTTTAGACTAGTCAGGTTTTGTGCCCAAGCTGCAGAAAAATTAAGTTAATTCTTAGTGGAAATCAGTCTGGTTCATAAACATGCTTAAAATTAACCAACATGCAAAACTAAGCTATGATTATTTGGAAAATGCAGAAGAAACAAGATCATCCAATCTCTTCTTTTCAACCATGCCAGAGAAAGAAAGTGAACTGCATGTATCTCAAACTAAGACATTTGACAATAAGCCATCACCATTACATTTGATCCATGTTATTACAAGGTACATAATCCAAGATACATACTTGTCTGGCCTTACTTAAGACAATGTAAATAACAGCAGCATTTACTATCCAACAATCTATGGACAAATTATCTGGTATCAATTACTGCAGCTAAACCTAACATAAAACTGATGGTGGAGTGTTTTTTTAAAATGCATGAATACAAAAGTAATGCACTAAACCAAAATCAGTCAATCTGCTACAAAATAAGACCAAAGAAGACTGTTTAGTTAAAAACAGAAAAGAAAAATTCTCACCTGACCAATCTGATCTTTCAAATCTTCCAGCTCTCCCTCGAGACTCTTCTTATCACCAAGTGCTGTGGCAAGTGCTGCCTCTTTAGCATTCAGAGCTGCTTCAAACTCTCGAAGTTTAGCCACTGTGCCATTCAAATCAGATTCTTTTTTTGCATAGCTAAAATAAAGAGAAGTTATGTTCAATAAAGTGCCTCAAATACACTTGAAAATGAGAAGAAAATATTTTCCTCACCTTGTGGATCCAAGCTTGGAATGCTTATAGGTACATATGTAGATTTTACAGTCAGAGGAGACTTCAAAATTTATTAAAAAGCTGCAAATTATGCTTTCAAGATCAGTTTACTTTCTGCTTACCAGTCTTTACATTTCAGCAAGGCAGATTTTCTGCACTACTATTTCTATGCTAATCCGCAAACAAAACCTTACGAATAAAATCTTGTTTTATATATATTGAAGACAGAACTAAGTTTGTAAACGTTATGATGGCTGAGTTTAACAGAATGGTTCAACCACACTGTTGTGTTACTAGTTTTGCAATGAAAATTGTTTCATCTCAAAAAGAAGTTATAATTAACATCACAGTGATGCTATGATTAAAAGCAGTCTCCATTTAATAGACAAAAATCAAAGGGCTTGAAGGGCTTTTGGCAAGCATAGGACTCAAAATTCAAAAGAGTCAGCAACTCAACTGCTTTTTTGGCCATAAACTAGTTACTACAAAGTTGGAGTTAGAAAAATGATAGGTTGGTGGGAAAAATTGAAGGGTGAAAATTTTCACATGATTTTCCCCTGCTTACATGTTTTTCCATTGGGGAATAATTGTGGAACACTAACAAAAATGAAGAAATCATTTCTCTTTTGGAATAACTGAAATGTTTAAACTTTTAATAAAAATCTACAATATTTTAACAAAATTCTGCAATATTATTAAGGTAATACAATAAGTATTACCTTAAGAAACTTAAGTAGATTTTTTTCACAGAGGAAATTCTCACCTTTGTTATTAGGCCATATCAGAGGGTTTGAAACTTTAGCAATTACTTTCCAAAGCTGCTGTTTATTTGTTAAATTGTTACTAAGCAACTAGGCTTAGAATGCCACCATTTTTTGCACAATACACCAGTAGTTCTAATGATACTGTCCAAAATGCCATACCTCACAACCTGTGTATCTGTGTTCTCTCTAATGACAGTCTCTGCTGCATAAGCAAAACGGAAATCCCACCCAACAATAGGGGAGCTGCTATATTATTTCCCAATTTCCATAGCAGCAAGTCAGGATACAACTATCCCACTACTAGAATGGAAGGTATTTGCACAATTGGGAGTTCCCACATAACATTTATCATAGCACAAACCTTCATATCCTTCTCAGAGTCAACACCCCCACTGGTTGATGAAAGGGAGACTGAATAAACGTATTTGTTGAAACTGTTAATTTTTTGGATATAAATATTCACTGACTTTGAAATCTAAGAACACAAGCTCACATCCCTGCTATGAAGAAAAAAGTCTTGGAATTGCAGGTATTATTCTCTAGGAATATGGCGCAAAGTCTATCCTCCTCAATACGCTACAAAGGAATCCTTCCAAGGCTGATTCCCATGTATCCTCAAGAAATAGACTTTTCATTGGGGGGGTAGATTGAAATGGAATGTATCATGAGTGGATAAACGCAATACAACAATGAAATTCGTATTAGGCCTTCATCTTGAATAATAAGGCCAAAGATCACAACATTGTGTACAAGCTTTTGAGTTTTCACTCCACCAGTCTAGATGGTAAATAAATAGGGGGGAGGGGGAAACCAAACAAAAAATGAACAAAAACAAGAGAAAGGGCTGCTGTTAAAGCCACAGGGGCTGCATTTGGGCTAGTCTTCAAATAAAATGTAAGAGGGTTTAAAATTATTTTAAATCTGACTGTACCCGATCACTGTGATAGTTCCACATTGCCCACCAAACATATTGCCCAATATGGCTACCTTTAATGCATGCAAGAAGTCCATGAGACAAAGGCCAGATTACTTTCTATTTAAAACATATGACTGATTTTGCTTCAGTAGAAAGCAAAATTAACTGTTATTTGTATTTAACACAGCTATGTTAAAAAATATCATAATTTGAATAAGTGCTGTAGATTTAGCCATGTTCATTGCAGTGTTTAACTGCGATTCTCACCTACATGATAAATCAGCATTTGGCAACAGTTTGCAGAAATGGAAAGGAGCTCAAGCAAAGTTTATACTTGGGCATGACAACTGGGACTTTGATCCAACTGAAAATTTAAAATGATGATTTAAAATAGGACCACCCCTAACATTAGGCTGACTGAAGCTGTCATTTCAAATGCTGGGGTTCTGGCATCAGCAAATTCAGACATCCATTTTGTGGTTCCCTGAACTCTATAGGGAGATGCAGGGAAGGCAGAAAGCAAAGACACTGGGGGCTGGATGTTCAGATCAGCACCAATTAATACTGTGCAGATTCAAATCACATACAAGTTACAAAGGTCAGTGAGTGCAGTTGAGCTAATCAATATAAACCAATCCAAGCATCTGGAAACTGAAGCTGGGATGCTTACGTACTGGCCTTATTCCCCTCAAGATGTTAACAAATTCTGAAACAAGATAGTCTTCCATCCATTCCCGTGTTGATATGGCTGACCAATCATCTCAGCACATCATGCAAGATTTTACAGATTAGAAATAATTCAAGCCATTCTATGAAGAATCAAAGTACTGTAATGTAAATAACAAATGAAACAATAACCACTTAGTTACAGTATGAGTTCAGTTCAAGAGCTAAAGGCAAAATGCAAAGACTGAAAATAAGTATTACACAAGGCAAGCCATGGGGATGAGGGAGGTATGCATCTGCTGACAAGACCTCAGCAACACTGAACAAATATTCATTTAGGTCATATTAAGAGACCTTTCTAGAGGAGGGATTTGAGACACCTGTTTCAACTTCACTTATTCTGAACAGCTGGGCTGTGCACCAGCTGAACCACAAGTTAATGTCTGTTGAAATGGTGTGCTTGAGGGAGACAGTAAAATTCCTGGAACAGGGTGATTTAAAAAAACACAAGATTGTTTCCCTCTTAAGTTAGTAACTTTACTATGGAAGTTAATACCCTGACGAATAACAGATGCAAATTTTCAATTTTGCAACTGTACTTTGTGTTAAGGAGTTCCTTGCTGAAATGTTTGGTATAGTAATTCTGTGAGATATTCTAGACCGCGTGCCACAGCTGGCACGCAGAGCCCTCTCTGCAGGCACACAAGCCACAAGTCGCCGGATTGTATCCTGTATTTGGCCTAGTGGGAGGGCTCCCATGAATTGTACTACAGGCAGTTCTTTTTCCTCTAGTCCTAGCTGTCATTCAATCAACTGTTATAAATGGTAAATCCTTACTTGTCTAAATCCCACTGATTCATTAGGCTTACCGTCAGTTGGAACCAGTGACTGGATTTGGGCTAGCTTCAAAATATCTGATTTGGGCATCTGCTACTACACACCACATATTATACTATGGAATTTCACAGCACCCATTTCATTTCTGTTTTAACTCTATCTAGATTAGTTAGTTAGTCCATGGTTACAATCATAAAGGAATGAGGAACGAAGCAACGGTGGTGCATAAGTAACACATTTGCCTTTTTCACAATACTGGCTGTGCTGAAAGGGCAGACATAGTGGCAACAGTAAATGGGCCTTCTTCATACTTCCAAGTTCAAGAATTGGTTGATGACTCTCATGTACCACGATTCTCCAACCAGAGAATAAAGACAAGACATCACTATTCTCCTGAGCTTGGATTTAATAGACACAGCAAGTGTAAAGGGAAAGAAAGAGCATATAGGTGAGCAATTTTATTAGCTGATTTATGAATAGCTAAAATGTGTTTCCCACTTCTCCACACATCACCAGGATCTATGGTTGATTTATAGAGAATCTTGCAAGGAAATCTGCATTCGTATTTGAATCAATGAAGTAGCCAAGCAGTACTTTGCAACTATTATGCAACTATTATGCAATGTTGCCAAGATATTGTAAAATATTAAGAACCTTTAGTGTATCACTTATTTCCTCTAATCCAATGATGGAAACAGAACAACTCTATCACATTTTAAAGATTAAGAATGAATCACATTGTATAGCTCTATTTGGGTTGCATACCTCAATCCACCTCTTCCTTCACATACGAAGCTAAAATGATATGACTACTAGAATCCTCTTTCCAAACTCTGCTTACCACATGTACAGAAGGAGCATACAGACATGCATTCTGAAATTAAAAATGTACTTGCATAAAGTTTGCATAATTTGCTACAACCAAATGATGAAGTGCCAGGGTACATCCTGTTTAACCAATTGGATAAGTGACTGCAATATGCCATGGCATTTTGTCCATTTGCTGCAATTAGCCACTGTAACAAACACCATCTTCTATGAACATGAATAAGATTCTGGACACTTGAGTGTTTGAATCAGGTTTAAGCAGGATGCCACAAATTTAAGATAGCGTATTTTTTGCTCCATAAGACGCACTTTTTCTCCCCCAAAATGTGGGGGAGAATATCCATGCGTCTTATGGACCGAAAGCAGCAATTTCGTCACTGCTGGCCCCGTGGGGGGGGGGAACGTCGCAAGGGTCCGGGTGAGCCTTCCAGGACCCTTGCAAGGCTCCCCCACCCCCCACGGGGCCAGCGCCGGCGAAATCGCCAGCTTCCAGGTGGGGGGAACATCGCAAGGGTCCTGGAAGCTCCCTCAGACACTTGCGACGCTCCTCCCACCCCCGCACGGGACCAGCGCCGGTGAAATCGCCAGGTTCTGGGAGTGTTTGGAAGCTTGGGGAGCCTCCAAACACTCCGAGAAGCTGGCAATTTTACCCCCCTGGCCCCGTGGGGGGGTGGGGGGAACGTGGAAAGGGTCCAAGGGAGCCTCCCAGGACCCTTGCCAGGCTGCCCCCACCTCCCCACGGGCCCAGCCCTGGCGATTTTACCCCCCTGGCCCCGTGGGGGGGTGGGGGGAACGTGGAAAGGGTCCAAGGGAGCCTCCCAGGACCCTTGCCAGGCTGCCCCCACCTCCCCACGGGCCCAGCCCTGGCGATTTTACCCCCCTGGCCCCGTGGGGGGGTGGGGGGAACGTGGAAA